CCATAGCTCCCCCCAGCGGTAGAAAGGATATGGCCATTCGGTGATTTTTTTGGCGTATTTCCTCACCACGTTGTCTTCGCTGAAGAGGAAGAGGGAACGGTTGAGCGTTAAGCAGTTCTGCCGCACCGGGATGGGGTTGTACAGCGCCATGGTGCGGGCCCTCTGTGCCATTGACTGTTTGTAGATCCGTTGGGCCCCCGGGGGCCCACCTTGCCGACTTCCGCGGACAGCGCCTCCCGCGCCGCGGGCCGGCACCTCGTCCCCGAAACGAGCCCCCATGGTGACGGGGACAGAGTCCGCGGGCTACCGGAATTCGAGGAGCGAGGAAAAGATGTGGGAAAAGCAGAGGAACAGACGATGCAAAGCATCACATCTCATCCAGACAGGCAGCGTTCAACATGTCCGAAGATCTGCGACTATATACATACAGAAATCTATACAGGCTCTTCATGCAAGCAAGTCCAAATAGCAGGCAAGAAAAAAAAAATAGAGATATGTGTATAAAAATTACAGGTGAAAAAGGAAGTACGAGCGAGAGGAGGGAGATAAGGCAGGATTCAGAGTATGGGGGAGTCTTGGAGAACCTCACGATTTCCCCACAATGACATACGGAGAGGTGGAAAGGATTCACGCCGGGCACTCGGCTGACGAAGCCACCAAACGAGGCCGTGTTGGTGAGAGGCTGCCGGGCTTGGTATGGTCACTGGCTTCTAGATGCCACCTCTCTATACCCATGCCTTAAAATAAAAAAAAAATAAAAAATAAAAAAAAAAGGGGGTTCCAGTGAGTGTCCAGTCTGGGATGGAAGCAATCCTTTACAGCAGCAGAGAGGAAGAGAGAGCAATACAGGAGGAGAGGGGGAGGGGGTGGGGAGAGGATAGAGAGACTGGGAAAGAAGGTGGGGAGAGAGATGCTGCAGTCCTCTACTCCACTCCCCCCCACCACCACCACCACCACTCCTCCAGTTCTTTGCGATGCTAAAAGGTCTGCTGCCTAGAATGGATCGCCTGAACACTTAGGTGAAAAATGACAGCCGCTCCGACTGATGCAAAATGAATAACTAGACAGTCAAGATAATGAAGCCTGACAGCAGACCCTGGTGGAGAGACAGACAGACAGACAGACAGCTATATAAGCTTTGGAGGAAAGGTGCAGGTGTAATATGCAAAAGCTGGCCAATTTCTCCTAGCTAGCTGCTGAGCCTGAATTACACATGATAGCCTCAGGCCAATCACTGCAGCAGCTGGCCTGCCAAACCCACAGGAGTTTGTATGGATGGGGTGGGAGAGAGAGAAGAGAGGTTAGAGGGGTTAAGATGGGTAAGAGTAGAAGGGGTTGGAAGGATAAGAGTAGAGGATGTAGGTAGGCTAAGAGCAGAGGAGGTAGGTAGGGTAGGAGTAGAGCGGCAGGAATTATAAGAGTAGAGGCCGTAGGGAGGGTAAAAGAAGAGAGGTAGGAAGGGTAAGAGTAGAAGGGGCAGGTAAGATAAGATAGAGGGGGTAGGAAGGGTAAGAGTAGAGGAGGGGGTAGGAAGAGTAAGAGTAGAGGGGTTAGGTAGGGTAAGAGTAGAGGGGGTAGGTAGGGTAAGAGTAGAGGGGGTAGGATGGGTAAGAGCAGAGGGAGTAGGTAGTGTAAGAGCAGAGGGGGTAGGATGGGTAAGAGCAGAGTGGGTAGGTAGTGTAAGAGCAGAGGGGATAGGATGGGTAAGAGTAGAGGGGGTAGGATGAGTAAGAGTAGAGGGGGAAAAAGGGTAAGAGTAGAGGTGGGTAGGATGAGTAAGAGGGGGTAGAAAGGGTAAGAGTAGAGGGGATAGGAAGGATAAGAGTTGAGGAGGTAGGAAGGATAAGAGTAGAGGGGGTAGGATGGGTAAGAGTAGAGGGGGTAGGAAGGATAAGAGCAGAGGGGGTAGGATGAGTAAGAGGGGGTAGAAAGGGTAAGAGTAGAGGGGATAGGAAGGATAAGAGTTGAGGAGGTAGGAAGGATAAGAGTAGAGGGGGTAGGAAGGGTAAGAGTAGAGGGGGTAGGATGGGTAAGAGTAGAGGGGGGAGAAAGGGTAAGAGTAGAGGGGGTAGGATGGGTAAGAGCAGAGGGGGTAGGTAAGACTAGAAGCCTCTAGGTGAGAGAAGTCAGCGTCAGCTATAGAGGGCGCCGGTGAGTCCCAGGGACGTATAGCGCCAGCAGTAGCCGTGGCGAGGTGTCACACAGTCTGGTCTGGGAGTCGGGAGCTGTCCGGAGTGCTGAATCTCCTCTCCGTGCTCGCCGCTCATACACGGGCACTGCGCTGAGCTACAACCATTCCTGACCCGGCCAGCTCTAGGGACATGACCGACTCTCCGAGCCCCATCAACAACCCCCCCACCGGGCACCGACCTGCAGCCAATGATCAGTCCCCATGTCCTATATCAGTCCCCATGTCCTATATCAGCCCCGATGTCCTATATCAGTCCCCATGTCCTATATCAGCCCCGATGTCCTATGCAGCCACGATGTCCTATATCAGTCCCCATGTCCTATACACACTCATGCACATTACACACGGCGATTGCCTTTAATATCTAATAATTGGGTGTATCTACTATGCTGTGACTCGCCTGCAGCAGCATTGGGCTCAGAGGATCGCTGTCCCCGCAGTGTTCCCAGGAGCTGGTGTTTGGAGCCCCATCCCCCATGTCTATGATCTGCAATGGTTTCCTACATTGTAATTCCATCCCCCATAATGTGTCACCGAGTCTATTCCTCGGTGTGGACTGTCACTACCACGGACAGATCGGATCCCCCCCCCCACACACGGAGCGGACAAGGAAGGGTGCTGCGCTGCTACTACTACACCATCTGCCTCCATTGTGATGGGTTAATATGTGACTGATGTGTCACCATCCATCATGACGTCATCTTAGGTGAGGGGGCCTTGAATGAAAAGAAGCATTTGCACAAAGCTGGCCCCGAACAAGAATGGTGGATAGGGGAGACAGGGAAGGTTTAGGGGAGCAGCAGACCCCCCTCCCCCATTATTCCCCCACCGCTGATCCAGGGAGCCTTTTTTTTTTAATTCTGTCATTGCTGACCCTTCCCCCCCTTCCTGGAAATGCTAGCTGCCTGGCTGTCATGCTGAATCAGTGGTTTCTGTACCTTGTGAGTCACTGGCCAGGAACAGTTATGCAGATCGGAAGCTCTGACGTCACTGTCACTTTCCTGATCTGCATGCTTGTTCCAAGTCAGTGACTCAGAAAGCACCCAAGCCAACAGAATCAGCTGCCATTGTCAGAGGCGTGCCGCCGGTAACAGAAGACTCTGTATAGGTATCTGATGGCTGCTCGCTTTTACTACACCCCACCGTAACGCACGCTCACCCGCGTCTCTGTGTGCTTTGCGGATTTCATTCATTTAGAATGGCACCCCAAAGCATGCCAACGCACCTGCATGCCGAAAATGCCGCAGGTGCCTTCTTTTTGTGCGCTGAGGCGTCTATCCCGCTCCTAATAACCAGATCCATCTAGAAGTTGCCCATGGGATGGACTTCCTCAATGCACTGACACAATGTCACTCAGTCCCCTGAATATGCACTACCTGGTGTCACCAACACAGCCTGCCTCCTGAACTACACCCAAACATCTGAACAATGTAACCTTATCAATGCTTGCTGGAAGCAATGCATGATGGGATATGTAGTCTTCAGAAATGGAGATTGCATCACATCAAGAGATGCAAAGCACACTGGGAATCCAGGAAGTTGATGAAAGTGATGGGCAGGCGGAAGCAGGGGCGTTCCGAGGCCGGGTGTAACCCGGTCTCCAGACCGGGGGACACCCCGCCGCTTCGTCAGCGTGCGCGAGTCGTTAGCGCACATGCGCTATGACATCATCACGCATGCATCATCTGATTGACGACTGCCGGCGGCCATCTTGGTGATGGACGCCAGCAGAGAGAGGAGGGGACGTTCACCTAGCGGGATGAGGTATGCCGCCGGGTCACTTCCTGACACTGTCGGGGCTCTCAGTCCATGACCAAGTGCCCCACTTTTAGAGGGGGTGACACCAAAATAACCAGTCAGTCACCCGCTGCGGGCCGCACCCTCCTTGTGACGCCACTGGGCGGAAGTCAATCCCCATTGGCAATGAGCAATAAACATCTAACGCACTGCAAGGGTTAAGTGCTCATTTTTGTCTCGGGACCAAAACAACAAAGTTATGCTCACCCGAACCTCGGAGTTGGCCAGCTCTTAGGCCCGCCCCTGGAGCCCCGATCCCCCTCTGCTGCAGGTCCCCTGTAAATCATCACATTCTACACACAGTGTATAGGACATGAGGACGCCGAGAGACATACCAACGCTGCAGCGGAGGAGAGGCTAGAGGGAGCGCTGTCACAGCCGGTCGGCTCCCTGGATCGGGTGAACATTTTTGCCTGGAATTCTTCTGTGAGTGTGAGTCACCGGGGCACGTGTCGCCAGATCTGGGGATTATCCGGAGAACACAAGCCCCTCCCTCTTGTTATATATGGCTCCTTCAGCTTTGGCAAACATCAGCTGCCAGGAGCATTGTGTGTGTTTGATGTCATTATAGACTGCAGGAGGTCTGTGGTTTTCAGTTAGAAGGAGCCTGTCTGGGTGACTCACAGTTTAGCTCAGAGGATCATTCATCAATAGTAGGGACAAGTGGGGGGTGATTTCGGTAAAATTGACTTGACAGGGAAATGAAGCAAGGATGTGAGATTCCTATCGCCCCGACGCCCGGGACATGCAGTTCTGGGTGCCTGGCAGGGGAGCCGCCGCTCCTCTTATACAAGTGGTCTGGGTGGCTGTGTAGTTGCCTTGATCACTTGTGGCAGCCCACCCGCAACCACCTCCTCACCGTGGTTTTCGGGGTCCCCCGCTCTTCTGGGGGACCCGGGACCACGACAGATGACGTAAGTATGGAGAGCCGGGAGCAGAGCGGAGAACATCTGTCCTTGGATCAGTGAGACCGGAGCCCTGAACTCACACAGCGCTTCCTGTCTCAGCTCTCACCAGCCGGGCCGCACTGGGGATCTAGCACAATGCTGTGCTCCATCTTCTGTATTGGAGTCTAATTATGGAGACATCTGGGGACTGATGGAGAGACATCTGGGGACTGATGGAGATACATCTGGGGGTCTAATAGAGAGACATCTGGGGACTGATGGAGAGACATCTGGGGACTAATAGAGAGACATCTGGGGACTGATGGAGAGACATCTGGGGACTAATAGAGAGACATCTGGGGACTAATAGAGAGACATCTGGGGACTAATAGAGAGACATCTGGGGACTGATGGAGAGACATCTGGGGTCTAATAGAGAGACATCTGGGGACTGATGGAGAGACATCTGGGGACTAATAGAGAGACATCTGGGGTCTAATAGAGAGACATCTGGGGACT